TGTTGCCAAGGCATTTAAAATATTGATGAAATTATAAATGTTGATATAATTAATGGACCCTGAATTCTTATCATTGTTTGTGTGGTTGATATTTAAAGTTCTTAGATGTTGTAAATTATTGTTGACCTTATTTGTAAAGTGAGGAACATTTATTCCAGTTTTTTCCTGCGCTCTCGTCTACAAATTACTGATCAATCTCTGTCAGATTCGTATCTAGAAATAAGAGCCAAATACCTTAATGAATGGCAACATCGGTGGTATCATTCTCAAAAAATCAAGATGGACGCAATAGCTAATTAAAAATAACTGGAGGAACTAGAGACTTACGGTTCAGGCCGGCAAGTAATCCATACTGCCAGTTTAGTTCAGATAAAACTGAGAGTCCCGACCATATAATTAGAGACTGTTTAATATTCGTAGATACTACACAAAATCTAAAGATACTAATCGGGGAAGTCAGTCTTTCTTTTATGGTAAAGCAGATGTTGGCAAGTACTGAAGACTAGAGCCTTTACAAGTGCATAATGTCTAAAACAATAAACATTGTTAAAGCAGACGAAATACTTTGTACACAATTAGAGTAAAAGCACGCTGTGTGTCCTTCCAACCTGTCCTGTGAAGGAATACCTTAACTGGTCATACTGCATGGATCTTCAAAAATGTGGGGTATTTTTAGTCTCTAGGCATGTATGATGTATGCAAATGTTGCGAGCTATTTGTATCTTTAGAAGATGTTTTCCTTCAGGTTCTATAAAGAAAGAGGTAGTTATATAGAGACGCGTTTTCTATGTGGAGGTTCAATTTTAACTACGTATTTAAAATTATATTGAGTACATATTTCTATTATTTGAGGTTTAATGTTATAAAGCACATTACTATAGGTAGTTTAATTGGTTCTGCTTTATTTAGATTTGTTCGTTTATACAAAGGTAATTTTTTTTATTTATAAAAGTAGTGGTTGAACCTATATCCTCTAAGAATTTTAATTTATATTGCCCTTTAGTAATTTCAACAATCATCAAATCGGACTTGAGACTGTCGATGGAAAATTTTTTTATTTTACAATATAATCAATTTCTATTGATTCGGATTGATATCTTTTACTATGTTAACTCGTAATTTCTACTGAAGATTTTTCTGATAGCGCCATATTCTTGTTTTGCTTCACTTCCATCGACTTAATTATATTTTGAAGGTCCTTATGAATTTTAACTGGTCATTGCTTTTATATGGCATAGGCTGCTGTCGAACTTCTCACCTTTTCATTGGTGAACTCTTCACCAAAGACAAAATAACTAAAGAAGAAGATAATTCACGTAGTGCACCAAATATTTACAAGAGTTTTGTGAATTTAGGAGAATAATTCGCATAATAATGGTTAAGTTACCAAAATTTTCGAAAATTTTCTGAATTTAGAGATTTGCATAATAATGCAATATTAGTTATTTAGAGATTAAACTTTGTGTGTGGGCTTGATGAAGGCTTTTTGTTTTATAAAATTTATACAAAATAAAAAAATTCAGAAAATAATTGTGTTGAATAAATCAAATTTTATTTTATTTATTAAACAATTACTAAAACCGTATTTAGAATCATTAGAAGATCTGAATTAAAAGGTAAGCTGGGATGTCAGTAACATCCCAACACGTTTGATCATTTGTATCAATAAGTTTACTATTGGTATTAAATGATAGTAAGGACGTACACAATCAACGTGACCACATTACAAAACTTCCAAGATTGGCTTCTTTGACAAAGTCAAAAATATCTTTTTCATGTAAAGCTTTTTGTACTACATTATTTATCGGTAGCTCAGTGAAATGAACTACCCAACTAAAGGCAAGTTTACATTTATGTACACTTTTTAACTTTGGCTGCCAAAATGGATCAAGTTGTGTTACGTTTTCAATATACATATATATAAACAAATAATATTGAACACAAACAAAATTATGCAAACGTCAAAAATTGCCAAACAATATTGCCAAGTCAATGAAAACAAATTCAATTACTTTTTTGGAAACAGCCACTATAATAAAATTTTATCAAATAAATGTTTACAATATTTAAAAAAAGCAATAAAAATTTTAGAAGTTACAAATATTTACAAAATTTATTGCAAAAAGTGGTGACTTTTCGGTTAAAAGTTTTCTAATAACGATGATTAATTTTTTTAATAAAAATAAAACAAAACGTTTTAATAAAATTATTTTTTATTGCCACTTTCTGTATTCAAATATTCATTTAAATTCACGTATGAAAATTACTGACATTACATTACTGACACAACTTAGAATTTCACTCATTTAGAACGCAACTTAGCCTAACTCGCACACGACCTTAATATATCTATTTTTTCGTATATATTTTACGTATGAGTAACAGTTTTTTTATTAAAACATTTTCTTCTTAAGCTTAATAAAATGCTGAAAATGTTAGAAGCATTACATTAAACAGAATCTAATAGTACGTTTCCACTGGCTGCGATTGCTAAGTAAATTTCATTAACCATATAAAGAGTTTCCGTGTTTTTAAATTTACTAAAAAAAATATTGTAAGCAAAATCAGACCAAAAATGTCGAATGCAACATTGCAAATTATAGAAATGATAGAAATTTGACATATTTGATGAATCTAATGAGGGAAGTAATGAATCAAATTACATAATAGTAAATAGTAATAGTAATATTAGTAATAGTAATACAAATTATCTAGTAAATCTAGTGTCTAAACAAACTTTATGTTCATAAAGAACGTCTTATGAAATATCAATTGACTGTCACAGGATTCTTCTCAACTAAAATTATTTCTATCAAAAAATACTATAGATATACTATTACTCTCAGAAACACACTTTACTAAAAAAAAAGTTTTTTTCAATTCCATTCTATCTGGATGAAATTCTAAAGAAAAAGCTCCGCAATATTAATTAAAAGAACATATAAACAGCCGGATCAATTCTTATATCTGCCATATATAGGCCATCGAAATATAATGTAAGGGAAGAAACCTACACAAAACATTTTTTAAATTTAGGGAATCGATGGTGATAACAATGCGAAACATATATATATTCTGGGGATCCCGACTAACCACAACAAATATATATTTCCATCTTACATTAAACATAAACAAGTACAAAGCGACAACAAATAATCGCAACTGGTCACACTAAACATAAAACTAAACCAACATGTGATCACCCAAGATATGAGTGACAGCGAACGTCAAACACGAAATGACTGGAATCAGTTTATGATGAGAAAAGGAAAACGTTGGCGTCGGTTCCGTTAAGCAGTTCGCGATTATATTTTCTATTAACTTAAAAAACTTTGTATACGTTTATTAATACATGATCCATTAAAGTTAAACTAAATCTATCAAATTGTTTTTGACTTCTAGAAGAAAAGAATAAATTGCAACGACCCCTGGACAATGGCTACGTCAGCACTATTAGCGAAAAAAACGTGTCGTACCAGCAGTGAAACTCTTGGAACTTAAAGTTTTTTCTGCGAGAAAGCCCACATACTGGTCATTAGATACAGCAAAAATTCCTGATCTTATTGATTTCTGTGTTACCAAAGGTTTCCTTTATAAACATGTAAAGTGCAAGACCAGCTTAGAGTCGGTCTTGACGAAAAAACCGTCTGAAAAAGCTAAATTATTCGCATGTCATCTAAACAACGTTTATACTCTACAAGATGTAAAAGCAATTCCGCTATAGATGTAGTGTTTCAATTTAAATAAAGTTAATAAATAAGAAATTTAACAAACCAAAAAATGGAATTGAAATGGAAACTTGCCAAAATAAATATAATACTAAAACTTGTTGAAAAATACAGACCACTTTTAAGTGAAAAGAATACTGCTCAACAGCGTTTTTGGACATATCTCAAACATTTGATCGCGTATGGCAGCAATAACTTGTTGGTTCAATAAACTTCTGTCACAAAACTATTACATGTATGTCTACAACGAAAAAAAATTTCTTCATTATATAATATTAAAGCTGGAGTAGCACTAGACATTGCACTCAGTCTAATTCTTTATCTACTTATCACATACGATTTACCAAAGACAGTAGGAAGTTTAATTGGCACATTTGCAGAACACACAGCAATCCTGGAGAGTGCTAGTGATTCCTCTGAAGCCGCTTCTAAACTTCAAGTTCATGAAGTTTTGATTATATGTCAAGATGGTAAAAGCTTTGGCGAATGAAAACAAATGAAACAAAAACTACTCATGTCACATTTACAATGAGAAGATACACTTGCTCCGAAATTAAAATTAATAATACAATTATCCCGGGATCAAATAGCGCAAAATAATGGGCTTGCATTTTGATACATGTCTGACATGGAAAACGTATATTTTAAACAAAAGAAAATTCCTAGGGAAACAATATCGGAAAATGTTTTGGCTACTGAGTAAGATTTCCAATATCTTTAAAAAATAAGCTTATTTTATACTAAAGTGCGCTTAAACCCGTACGGACCTACGGCATTTACCTATGGGGCACAACCTCAATATTCAACAACAAAATTCTTCAAAGATTCTTCTGCTTTTTCTCCAGTATAAAACTCTAAAAGAAATGTTAATTCCGATGAAGTAAAAAACGTAGCCAGAAAATATCATGAACAGATTAATCCTAACAATCTGGGTTCGAATTTGATGTCGCCATCGAAAGTTTGTTCAAAGCTGAAAAGAAAAACACCGTTCCAGATCTTATAATAAGATTTTAATTTAAAAGTAGAGAGAGAAGTACCTAAATTGTAAATTACCATGCCTGAAATATATTTTATTATTATTTGACAGAATACATATATATTTTAAAAATAAAACACGAAAAAAATGAAAGGATGAAAGATTGTGTGAAAAATATAATGATATATAAAAATATATGATCAAAGAGAAAAAATCTCTATAGTTTGTTTGTATTGTAGTAACATTAAAATTTACAAAAAATATTTACGATATAAAAACGGTAAACTACAAATTGTTTACTTACTAGAAAAGTTTCTAGTGGCCAACATTGTAGTAAGAATAGCTCCTTTGAGTTTACGACGAGCATTGAATTTCTTGAGGCAATCAACAGTTTCTTGACGATGCACCACCGATGCGACCCTTTCTCTTTGCTGTTAACAAAAAAAAAATTAACAATCAATTCATTCTTGAACACAATTATTAATAATTATGAATACATACACAAATCCAGGGATGCTTAAGTGCCTCCGCCGCAGTTATTCTCTTATTTGGATTAACAGTTAACATTTGATTTATAAGATTTTTGGCCTCTGGTGTGACAGTGTCCCATTCAGGCGATGGATACTAAAATAAATACAGTTAGACTTATATATTTATTTAAAAAAATAATTGACACACATCATAAGCGCCAGCTTTTATCTGTGAGTATAATCGATGCTGGTCTTCATCCCAAAAAGGTGGATATCCAACAAGTAAAATATACAGAATAACACCTACAAAAAGAAACAGTTGATATAGTAATTAAAAACGTAGCATACATTTTACGTCTTTACCACATGCCCATATATCTACAGATTTCCCATATGGCTCTTTTTTCAAAACTTCTGGTGACAGATAACCTGGTGTTCCAGCAAATCCAAACCATGCTTGATGATCTCCCTGAACTTCAATGGCTAAACCAAAGTCAGCGAGTTTCACAGCTGCACCCTTTGCCTTACTTGCTAAGAGTAAATTCTCAGGTTTCAGATCACGATGCACCACACCATTTTGGTGGCAGTGATTAACTGATTCCAATATTTGTTGAATACAATGTGATGCATCCGCTTCTGAATAGAATTCGCGAGCAACAATATCTTCAAATAGCTCACCACCAGTAACACTGCAATTGCAATGGTATTTGGAATTTGGAATTTGTATATGCTTTGAATTTTTAATAGTTTATCGATTTAAATTATTATTCGTCTTTTTTTTAAGCTTTTTATATATACAGAATATACAGAATAAACTTAGAGGTGACAATTAGAATAAAACCATAAATTTTGATTCGGCAGCAAGCAATTAATTTAATGAAATTCTGGTATCCGTTAGGACTCCCAAAAAAAAAAAACAATAAAAAAAGAAGAGGAGACCCATAGCAAATGTGAAGCGTAATTAAAGCAGTGAAGATCTCTTATTTAAATTGTTATGGAGAAATTCCGACAACTAAAAAATAAAAATACCGAGGCTAACAAGTATAGAAATCAATAATTAATTTAAATATTTAAACGGATGAACAAGTTAAAATTGTTATGTTGACAAATTGCCTTTGTCAAATTCGTTAAATTCGTATTTAAAGCAATTAGCTCATTGCTCTCTTCTTTAAAGAAATCTGTACAAATTCATGATATTTTCAAAAATCAACAACACGTTTTCTATTTCAGTTTTTGGTGGGTATGCAATTTAATTAAGAGTTAAAAACTATATTAAAAAAAATATCTTTTCTAATTGTCACATATAGGTTTATTATGTATATATATTCTTTTCTTTATGGTTGCTGGGTGCTCCTGTACTCAGATATAGAGGAAATTATTGTATACAGGTAAAAGGATGAAGTATGAATCTCAATAAACAGTAGTCAAGTCATTTTATATGTAATATTATCCAAGTCCTTAGTAATATATTGTTTAATATTCATTGCTAACAATTAATTTTTTTAATAAATATATCGAAATTTTAATTACTTACAGATCGAAAACCAAGTAATGATAATTTTCTTCTTGTATGCTATCATGGAGTCGTACTGAAATAGAAAAAGCAGACAGTTATATAGAACTATAATAAGGAACATAAATTGTAACGAAACACATTAATTTTAAGTAATATATATAAAATAATATATGTGTTAGGTGTAGTAAAAAGAAATCCATTATTTTTCCAATAGATGGCTTTATCTGGTATCTGTACCCCGAGTTAAATAAGTCCATTCGGGCTACGCCAAATGGAGTGAGAAAGCTAGGATTTCGTACTAAAAAACTTGTGACGAATTTACATGAACTTCATGGACCGAAAACAGTAGTAGTCGAACTGCGGTGACCCGGCTGAAATGGTGGTCAAGGCAGAACTGACGGTCAGGAAGGTTTCACTGTGTGTTTGGAGGGATTGGCAGGGAATCATCTACTATGACCTGCTCTCCTACGGCAAAAGTCTTAATTCGAAACTGTACACGTACTGTCAACAATTTAATTGTCTGAAGGAAGCAATCGCCCAGAAACTGCCATCTTTGTCCAATAGGAGAGGAATTGTGTTCCATCAGGACAACACTTCAACCAAGGTTGAAGTTGGTTGGGAACTTCTTATGCAGCTATCTTATAGTCCAGACCTAGCACCAAATGATTACCATCTATTTCTATTCATGGCGAACATTTTTTTCTGATGAAAAATTCGCTTGAAGAGAAGTTTGTGAACACCAACTGTCTCAAATTTTCATCAAAAGAGATGAGGATTTCTATGAGAAAGGTATAATGAAATTACCTTCAAAATGGCAACAAGTTATCGAATAAAACGATATTTATTTGGCCTAAATCGGACTATTCTAACTATGGTAAATAAATCTTCAATTTCATGCAAAAATAATGGATTTCTTTTCACTACATTTATTATTATTATATTTTTATTAATCCAAGACCTTATTAGATAATTATACTTAATAAATAGTATAGAGTGAACATAAAAGGTAAAGTGTCTGATTACATTTAATTTGGTAAATGCCATCGCGGTCCTTGTCACTGTTCTCTCCAAGTCACTGTTAACACATAGCCTTCACGTGACCCCATCTGGATAGCTACAATCATTCATGCGTAGTGAACTAATGTGTTCAGCGAAATCCGCCTCGAAGAGGTTATGCGTCAGGCATGGAACCCACCATATAAAAATACAACTCCAATGAAAACGAAGAATCAGCTTTGGATAAGAAAACGATTTACTGATAACGATAATCACAAACCTCTTAAAGAACATAATTTAAAAATATGCATCTGGAATGTTCAAACTCTTTACAGAGAAGGTGCATTTATACAGCTGGTTAATGTCCTCAAGAAATAAAAGGCTGACATTACCGCCCTCCAGGAAATGCGATGGACGGGACATGGGTGTTCTAAACAAGAATATTGTGACAGCTACTACAGCTGCCATGCAACAAAGCACAAAATCAGAGTCGGATTTGCGGTAAGCCGAAGGTTGAGAAATTTGGTCACAATCTCCGCACCTATAAACGAAAGGCTCGCTAAAACCCGTATTAAACAAAATTTTTTCCACATCAACCTAATTTGGACACATGCCCCGATAGAAGATAAAGATGACTACACCTAGGAAACTTACTATGAACAGCTTGAACAAGTATATAAAGACTTCAACACAAAGGTAGGTAAGAAAGGTATCTTTGATGCTACTGTTAGAAAGTTTAGCCTTCATACAAAAACCTTTGATAATGGAAGAAGGTTTATTAATTTCGCCGCGTGGTTAGTAGTACCAGATTCCAGCATTTCAACATACATAAGACAACATGGCTGTCACCTGATCAGAAAATCAAGATCTCAAATTCATCACGTTGTGATAAACGGAAGGCATGCTTCCAGTGTCTTGGATGAACATACTATCCGAGGAGCCAACATAGGACTCGGATTATTATCTTGTTGCTGCCAAGACCCGCACGCGTTTATGTGCGATGAAAGAAGTACGTGAATAAGCACTGTGAAAGCTAGATGTCGAAAAGCTGCAATCATAACAGACAGCTAATGACTTCGCTACTCTGAAGACGCCGATATATGTGCAGAATGGAACCACATCTTCCACTCATGCGTACCACTGCAGAAGTGATAGCTATCATCGTAGAGAAAGAAAAGAATGGTACGGCCAAGGTTGTCGTGACGTCAACACAGAGAAAGCTGCAGAATATCAAGCCACCATGCAAAAAAGAAGGGAGGAACCTTTTCAGGTGAAAAAATAAAGAAGCAGAAAGACGTGATTACGAAGAGCTTCAGAAGCTGTGCAATAGGTATATGGCTAGAAAATTCTATCAAAAATCAAAAGCCTAACAAATGGTTATAAACCCGGAGTAATTTTTCTGCAAAGATCAAAATGGCAATATGGTGATAGATATCCAAAGCATGCTTAACATTTAGAGGGATTACTTTTCGGACCTACTATATCGCGGTAAAGGTGATGTGACTGCAAGCGAAGATGATCCCGAATTTACATTCGTTGATAATGAAATATTCGTCCCGCCTCTCGATAATAATAAAGTTAAAACAGCTATAATGCTGGTGGAGAAGAGCTATTAAAATGCATGCCACAACTAATTCGCAACATATGGTCGAATTTAAGTGTGCTTTGTCCAATTCACAAAAAAGGTGATCATGCAAACTGTGCTAACTATTGTGGTATCAGTTTTTTAAATATTGTATATAAGGTTCTGTCAAATGTACTATATGAAAGATTAAAGCCAGCTTATGACACTACGACCAGAAACAGTCTGTATACCGCTATGTTTGATATCCCAGCAAAACTTACTCGGCTATATAAAATGATGTTAATTAACACCACCAACTCCATTAGGGTCGGGAGGAATCTCCAAGCCGATTGGCACCAAACGAGGTTTCAGATAAAGTAATTTCTTGTTGGAAACGATAATTCGAATAATCCAAAAGTGTAATGCCGCTTGCATATGCTGATGATATTGATATCATTGGCTTGAATACCTGAATGACGTCAGCTTAGAAATTCAACAAAAAATCACACTGCCAATAGGTGTTATTTTGAGCTAAGTAAACAATTGAGAAATAAAGCTCTCTCTTGACAACCGAAAATTACGCTCTAGAAGTCTCTTATCATAATCGTCCTGCTGTATGGTGCAGAAGCTTGGACAATCATCAACTGTGATGAGAAGACGTTAGGACCATTTGAAAGATAAATTCTTCGGAAGATTTATAGTCCCTTATGCGTTGGTAACGAGTATCGAATTAGATGGAACGATGACCTGTATTAGCTGTGCCGTGACATTGACATAGCTAAGCGCATAAAAATTCAGCGGCTTCGCTACCATTTGATCAAAAAAGAACGAGAAGTTAAAAAAAAAACCCAAAATTTTAATTTTTATTATTCTCTTTATTATCGCCTACAAAGGACTCTACTCCTGCGGCAATACATGCATGCCAACACTTGATCCAATTTTCCATACAATTTTTATAGGCCGCCAAAGGTATGGCCTTCAGTTTACACAGCGAATTCTCTTTTATGGCCTTTATGGTCTCAAAACGCGTCTTTTGTCCTCGCAATGGCAATTTGAGTCGGGGGAAGAGGAAAAAGTCACACGGAACCATATCTGGAGGGTACGGTGCTTGGTTGATGATATTGGTGTATTGGTGGAGTTTTTGGCCAAAAACTGCGACACTACCAACGCTGTGTGAGCCGGTGCGTTATCGTGGTGTAAAATCCATGAGTTTTCCTTCCATAAATTTGGCTTCTTTTTGCGAATGGCCTCACGCAAACAACGCATAACGGCAAATTAATACTCCTTATTCACCGTTTGACCGTCCGTAAGCAATTCGTGGTGCACGACACCACGAATATCGAAAAAAACAGTCAGCATAACCTTGATTTTGGACCGACTTTGACATTCTCTTTTCGGTTTCGGCCGCATGTGGCAGAACTGACCTTTTCTATTCCCATTTTTAAACAACGTGCACTTTTAAGCTGTACACCACTTTTGAAATATCAATGATCATTTTATGCGTAAAAATCACCAATCGACAATAATGCACCACAAAATCTTTTGAATTTGCGCAAAAGTAGTCTTTCTAAAATAATGTTAAAAAAGATTATTAACCATTTATTTTTTTTAGCCAATTGAAATGAATAAGAGCACAAGTATTATAAGCAGTCAACACCCGGTGGACAGTTTAGTTTATGTTTTGTGTATGACTTTAAATAACTTCCTTCCTTCTAGAGATAAGCTTCAGTTGGTGTTTGATAGCCGTTCAAAGCAGACAACCTCGTGAATTTTTACGGAAATGGAAAAAAGTGAGTTTCGTGTGCTGATTAAACACTACTTTTTACGCAAAAAATCCATCACTGAAACTAAGGAAAGACTTGATAAATACTACGGGAACTCGACACCATCAATTTCAATGGTTAAGGAGTGGTTTACAGAGTTCCGTTGTGGTCGTACCAGCACTAGTGACACCGAACGTTCAGGTCGCCCAAAAGAAGTGATCTCGCCGGAAATCGTCGATAAAATCCATGAAATGATATTGGATGATCGGAGAATGAAAGTATGTAAGTTGGTTCATGCTGTAGGTATCTCAACTGAACGGGAACATCATATTTTACACGAATATTTGGACATGAAAAAACTCTCCGCGAGATGGGTGCCGCGATTACACACACTCGACCATAAGCGCAATCGTGTGACCACTTCAAAAGAGTGTTTAGCGATGTTCAGCCGTAATCCGAACGAATTTTTGCGCTGTTTTGTTACTGTGGACAAAACATGGATCCATCACAACACGCCAGAGACCAAGGAACAATCGAAACAGTGGGTTGCTAGGGGTGAACGTGGTCCAAAGAAGGCCAAACAGAGTCTGTCAGCCCAGAGTTTTTTGGGATTTTTGGTTTAAAATTTTTAATACTTAGTTGCAATGTTTAAGCAACAAAAATATGCAACCACACGCGATGAATTTTAAAATTTTGTTGTCTATTCTAAGCCAAAAACCACACTACAATAGATGCCAATACGTGTTCACATATACAATCATGTACAAAACTATGCACCTTTATTTAAAATAACATTTTTAAATATATAGAAGAAAAAGTGATATATGTGTGTTCTTTTATTCACTAGAAAATTTTATTATTACAAGACCTAACATACTAATAGATTGCTATTAGAGGTTTAGGCATAGATATATTATGCGGTCGTAATAGTTATTCTCTTTTATTTTAGATCCATATTTCGAAAAAGTTTCTTTGTGCTATTAAGTCAAAAATAATCATTCAAATTTTCAAACTTTGTTAAGTGTTGATTTATTGCAAAACTGCTAAAGTCATAATTCTTAAATGATATATAGGTGTAAACGATCCTATACCATATATCAGTTCCGTTTTCACCAATTATGTAAAAAGTGTTTGAAAAACTCCTAATCAAAAAGTTCAACGCAATAGTAAATAGAGGAAATTAAAACAATTCCCTCCAATTTGTTTTATGAATTGTCACACAGGTGTGACATGATTCATAGCCTAAAAGACACTCTTTTTTATTAAAATTGTTCTATCAAAGAAAAATTTTAATCGGTGGACAACAAGATGGCATCCCGGAACCATTACTGTAATTAATTTAAACTTGCAATTTAATTTTCATTCACAGCAAAGTTGCAAAACCGCAACCGTAGCTTTTGGCACGACACCTCTGTAATTTGGAAAAACATTGAAAAGATCTACCAAAAAACATCTTTTAACAATTTTTAACAAAGTTTGGACTAAGAAATGCCGTTTAAAACACAACAGTAGTAAATATGTACATGTAGAATTTATCAGTACAACATTTCCCATTGTACATAGACAGTTTAAATATATTCTATGCAAATCCCACAAAATATATTGGTATGACACTGAACATGAAATTACGTTGTAAGGAACACATCAAAATTAAAAAACAAAATGGAAGATTTGAATTAAAAAATTGTGCGGACTTGTGACAAACTACTCATCTCTTAACAGCTCATCATTCTATATGGTGTGGCGGTGCTGTCAGACTAATCAGACTAACTAAAATATAATTCAAAGATTTCAAAATAAACTACTTAAGCCAAACAAAAGACAGATACTGTTTTGATCTTAATAATGAAAGGTTCCGAAATTTCATCATATTATTAGAAAGGCTTTCAAAGAACAACCAGACATGGGATATCATTAACTTACCCAGCTGTGCAAGTCAACTAACCGATTCTCATATTTGCCTTTGAAGTAGAATTTATAATGATACATTCAAAACTTTCCATTTGCTAAAAAATTCTTGTTTATAAATAAATTCTAAAACCCTTGGTTTGGTTTATGATAAACTTGGTTTATTGTATCCAATTATGGGACTCAGCCAAATTTAATATTGCGATGATTCAACGTTTTCAGTAAAAAGTTTTTTGTTTAATAAGACAACCTACAGTATATATCTAAGACACTTCTCCGTAAACTTCATTTGGACACACTAGTAGAAAAAGTAGAGATGTATCGCATCATATGCACATCGTCTTCAGTCCGAATCGAACTCCATCACACCCAAGGAGCTGATTTCAGCCAAAAAATGTTAGCCCAATAACTTAATAATTTTACGATCATTTCAAAGCAATAAAATTAAATAGGCCAAAAGAGAATGAATTGGCCAATTTTTTTTTTTAACATAATTTTATAAATTCATAAGTATGATTTCATACGATTAAAGCATATGTTTGAACCACTGATATACATAGAGGTTTCTAAATAAAAGCTAATAAAAGCTTATATGTGTAAAGTATCATATACATACGTAATATAAAACAATTGTATAATTTGATCTTAAAGACTAGTTGCTATAATATATAATATATAAAAAAATTATCTATTGAATTTTAGTTTTTACCTATATTTGGATGATGCAATTTTCGACAAATCCTGGCTTCTCTTTCTAATTTCTGAAAATCTGATAGATAAATTAATTTTTTTTTTTTAAAGATCAATACATTATTTTACCTCGCGCTGTTAATTTTTTAGTATTTATTATTTTTGCTGCAAACTCAAAACCTGTTGACTTTTGAACACATCTTTTTACTATCGAGAAAGCTCCCCTGTAATTTAAATATTAGTTTAGTAAAATCATAACAAAGCAAATGATTACAATGACATAATTTGTAACACGGATTCTTTTTAGTTAAAAGTGTTATTTTCTATTTTTTAACACCAATTTTATTTGATCATATAATATCTTACTTTCCGAGCTCCTCTTTAATTTCATAATTATCTGAGAAACGCGTACAGGCTGCTGGAGCAGCCATCGCGATGGCACACTTAAGAAAATCTATTTCGGCAGTAAATTCGAGTAACAGAGATTTATGGTATGAGTGTGCAAATAATCGATATAGTTTTAGCTGAAAATAAATGAATAATATGTTATATTATATGTTTATATAGTAAGATTATGCAAAGTTTAAATTCAAATAATTAGATCTTCTTTATTATATAAAATAAAATATAAAAACAAGGTATTCCTAAAAACATTTTGATAGTCTTCTTATGTTAAGAAACATGTGTTAGGCAACTACTATTAATTTGTTATTAATTTATTATTAATTATTACATTATTATTTATTGACTACTATAATTTTTATCCAAACAATCGGTGCATAAATTAGACTTTAAAAACTTTTCGATGATTTAAAATATATTGTTTGAAGAAAAAATAGTGTATAGTGACGTGTTTCGCAAAAATAGGAAAAATTTTTTCCTTTTTTTGCAATTAGAACAAAAAATACGATGAACGATATTTTTTACATTATACCTCTAATATTAAAAACATTTATTTACTAAAAACATTTTGACAAGTGAAAAGATATTTCGGAAAATTATTTCCAGAGTCAAGACCTTAATTATTATGGCAGGAAGACGGAAATGAAAAAACTTTACAAAAATATTCACATATATATTATAAATCACAAAACACACGTTTAGATAAGAGAGAGTAAGTTTAAAACTCTTCCGTGTGTAAAATAAGCAAGGAATTGTTACAGGGATTGATTTGTGTAGAAAAAATATTTATAAAATTTATAAACACTTTTCCAAATTAAAAATTGGTGAAATTAAAAAAAAAAAAACACTAGTTCGTTGTATATTATTTCTTCACATAGTAAAAATCTTAACGGCTGCGGCTGCTTAGTTTCCAATGACACCACAGTCTATATCAACGAATCGGAAAAGATTACACCTGGTGTATAATTTCATTTTTTTAGAATCACCCATATTGTAACAAACTAAGCTCTATCAGCATTCCTACCATCATCCCCTCTTTCCTGCAATCCTCTAATCACGTGTCTATCAAACTTGTTTAAAGTAAGGGCTATTAGATTGTATTCTAGCATCACACTGAATTGATACCTGACCATTGATACCTGTTTCAGCATCACTGCGGAATTGCCTTACTATTGGAGACGATCCTGCAATAATAGGCAAAGCTCTTTTTCAACACTCGTAGAACTACATATGAAAAAAACACAAACAAAAACTTCAAACAAATTTGCTAATAGTCATACTTCGTATAAGTTGATTAATCTAGTAAATAGTAATATCACTAATTGCTTACTGCTGAACAAAGATCCGTCAAACAGATAGAAAATAATGTTTTCACAAATAAAGGGATGCAACTGCAGACATCTTTAATCTAAATATTGGAAAATATTTAGATCTACGAAACAAAGCCAATGAAAAAAAAAAAAACAAAAACAAAACGTACTGTGCGCAATACATTATAATTTTAAGTACATAAACCTGCACCAAAACTGAGTTCAGTTATAGAAAAACTAACGCAAGCTATACTAGCATTGTTAAAGGTCTTAGTTTAGCTCTTATACCAAAATCCCACCCTTTAGTTATACTCACAGAAGAAAAGCAAGAATTAATTAAAGCGCTACTGCTCGAAGAAATGTTCAAATGATGGAATTTGACGTTTTTCACTTTGGACCTAGCCTTATACTGATCGATTATGCTGCAAAAAAAGCGTTATATAGGAACATAAAACATAGAAACTAAACTGACATCGTGCTTAGGTAACAATATCCCGGATGTAATAACCGTTTAGAATGAGATTTAACACTTATCTCTGTATTAAATTAAACATCAAGGACTTAACGACGCCAAAGCTAAACAGTGACATATATGAGTCCGATAACACTTCCTTGTCACGGTGCTCTGAGGAAGATAAACCACTGTCACCTTGCGAGAAGTCCACGTTATAAAAGCAATACATAAGAGGGTGCAAGTTGTTGAAAAACAATATAACTTTTTGTCTCTGCAGATCTAATACCGGCGAAAGTCCCGATCGACATTAATGAAAATCCACGAAATTTGGTTTTGCTATCAAAATACCTACCAGAGAATGAAACCTATACCAACAATCTACAAAATGATGAAGTACTATGACAGATAAAAAATTACCTTAAAAACTTGGATCCACCACTAATACAAATAACAAGAAAAAGTACTAATCGAGGTAAGAACCTTCTTAAGTTTATTATAAGTAATAAATTGGAAATTTGAAACTTTTGACAATATATAATACGCTCGAATGCGTGGTTTTTCTAAATTTAATATTATTGACATTGAAAGTTAACCAGTAATAGAGTTCTAAGCAACCCTAGGGAAATAGATTTTGCAAGCTAACATACGTTGATACACTTCCAATTCCAGGGTGTGACTGATAAGTAGCACTTACATTAGAACTTAAAACGCACATATACTATTCGTGTATAGTATACAGAAAATACTATTATCAGTAGAACGGTAAGAGGATGATTTAATTTTTATCAATAAAATGGCATATATTGAGGAATTGATAATTTTGAACCACTAAAATCGTCAGTAGATGGTATTTTCAAAGGATTACTTCAAAAATGTTTTGATCAGTTACTATATTCTTTATATAAATAAATTTTTATAGCTGACAATTATATAAAAACTACAAAATTAGTAAACTTCACTCATCAGCATTCATACATAGCACTTCGATCTACAAAACAACATAGGAGGGATTTTTGATAATATTGACTAGTATAAAAAATATCCAATAATTTTATCAATATCTTAGTCCACTAAATTTTCACTACTAAGAGAGTTTTACAGAGACTAAAACAAATGTTAGTCATATGATCCAAGGTTTAAGCTATACAGTGGTGAGGACTAAATAAATCATTTTTGTCAAAACCACACAACACTTAACATAACCTTGTTTGCCGGCAATCCAAGCTTTAAAGTTGTTTGTGGGGGTCACCAGCCTTTGAATCTATTAATTTAAATTCGTTGCGTTTCAGCGAAGTTCTATTGATTTTAATTTGGTCAATCGAATTTTATGAGAAACTCAAATATTGAGCGTCTTCGCTTAACCTGCTTTTTTCAAATGATTCTAAACTATCATATGATTAATGTTTATTACTTCAGCTATCTTCTAAAAGGTGCGTGTCAGTCTTGGAACGCTTATTGCAAAATTTTATGGGCTGACCGATCACAGCGAGGTGCACATTTGATATCGAAATGTACAAAACAGAATCATATAAACCACTTCCGGATCCGGTCAGACTTTGCAGTCATTTTCAAATCAATACAATATTAACACGAGCGACAAATTATTCAAAACCATTTTATTCACATTATAATTTTAAATAAATACGAAATCCATATGTTAGGGAAACTTATTACATTAATTTTGAATAAATACGAATTCTATATATTAGAGAAACTTAACAAAGCTCATTTCACACAATGTCAGTTTAGAGCAACTTGTAGATTTTTGGAAAGATTTTCAGAAAGAAGATGCAATAATAACCACACAAAATAAACAAATGCATATGTTCTCAGAGAGCAAATCGGAAAGAATTAACTTTTTAAATAAATTTTTTATTTAATGTATTAGTAAAGTGAACTTTGAAAAATTATTATTTTTTATAAATGCGTTGAAAATGCCTGATATGTAATAATCGAAAAAAAAATTGTATTTAAAGCTACAATTAAAAAGTTGTAATTATGTGCAACACAAAAGTTGTAATTATGTGCAATAAAAGCGTATGCACGAATAAAATTAAAGTACGAGTATGATAAAATTATGTTTAATTTCCAGCAAAAAAATATCCAGGTAGATGGCCTGGATATGTAGTGATATACACAACTACTCTTCAACCCAAGTGCTTCAAGTTCAAAGAACTCTGACATTCTATAACTAAAGTTGAAAACGGTTTAATAGCTCCAAACGTATTCGAATTAATTCGACAAGATATGCGTATATGATTGTTATCCAACATATTATAATTATTAACATGGACAAAGTATTCACATTACTCATATTTAAAACAATACGTATATATTTACATTACTCATGTTCAAAACAACACTCACATATACACATAGAAGAAAAAGTCTGTAGTCACCTACAAAATTCTTCTTAATGTTCGCAAAACATTTTTAATTTTTACTCAAATTAATTTTAGTTTTCTGATTTCTTTTTACCAAAGAAACCACAATAAAGTTCCAATATAAAAAATTAACAGTTATTTTTAAAAAAATAATTAAACACAATTATATGCAAAAGCAACAATTACCGAAGCAAAAAAGTCTGCGGTCACTTCTTAATATTTAAATTAAAATTCACAAAAATTTACAATTTAATAGCCTGTGGGATAACCTCTGAGTTTAGTAACCTCTTTTAGACGTCTTTGCTTAGACGCAATCAGCTTTGCAGTGTCCTATGCGTTTATTTTAAGCCATTTTTCCTTGATGACGTTTCTTGACATATCCTTGCTGGAAATAGTGTGCTGGTGAATCTTATTTTCCAAATAAGCCCACATATGTTTGATGGGACTAAGGTCTGGAGATTCTGGCAGTATTTGATTTTGCCTGGGAGTAAGATCGTTATTGTACGCTTAGAGTCGCTGTGCTGCTGAAACAAAAAGGTTGTCTCAAGCCCTAACATTCTACCATTTTCTTTTAAATTTGTTTTTAGTATATTTTTAGTATACATTACTTGCTATACACCCCCAAGCCACTATGCCTCCACCACCATGTTTCACCGTTGAAATTAAGTTTTGTTTATTATAAGCTGTACATGAGTTTCTCCATACAAGTTTTCTACCTTTGATTCCAAATATACAAAATTAACTCTCATCGGAGAAAATAACTCATTTTCGGAACTTCATAGGTTTATTAACATGCTTTCTAGCAAATATTAATCATTTTATTCTATTATATCTTGATATGTATGGCTTTTTTCTTGCAACCCGGGTATAATACTTGCTTTTCTTTAAAATTTTCCGTACACAGGACATTTTTTTTTTTCAAGTATTTCGGCAATATGTTCAGCTAGTTTGAAGACTGTTACTCTTGGATTTACTTTCATTTGGTTGATTATGCAAAGTCTTTCTCTATCTGACAAATAGCGACCAGTCCTTCTCTAGCGACCAGGGCAAGGTTTAGAAACGTAATTACCCGTCTCCTGGAAGTTATTTGTAACTATCTGGACAAAAAAATTTAGACGACCAATATCTTCAGCAATTTTCCGTTGGCTTATGTCATCTTTCCAAAATTTAACAGTTATTTGCCGTTTACTAACACTAATTTCTCGTCTTTTATTTTCCATTGTAAAAATTTACTGTTTATATAAAAAAATATTTTTAAATGATTAATTCTTAGATTCTTTAGGAAGTATTTCAAGAGTATAGTATTTCAAGAGATTGTTATAAAAATAAATCTCTTAGTTTTGACGTTTTCTCAAATAAACACATAGGCTGATTTATACAATTTTTGTATGTAATTAATTTCAATTATGATATTCGCACAGTTGTGGTTTATTTTGATGTCGGAGAAGAATAAGGATAACTCCCAATAAATGAAAACTATACACTTAGTTTAATCAATAGTTAATAAATAAATCATATGGCCTTTACAAATACTAGACACAAATATTCATGAATCGAAAACTTCAATCAACAGTACGTAGAATATACTTTGAGAGACAAAAATGTGTGTTTATAGAAAGTACAACATAATGTAAGCTACTTTGAAACATTGTTAAGAATTCAGATTGTAAAGAGGTTGAAAATTGGTATATTTTTTTTTAACAAAAACACTTTTTTTTAAATGTACAACCAGTTAGGCGATACATACTAAAACTATTGCTCCCGAACTTTATTAGTTTTCCTTGCGGATGCATTTTTATTATACCAATAGAATTATGAAATTACCGCATAATATTGGGGATTTGAGGGAAAAATAATAGCCTATGTAGATAATTACAGAGATACTCTAAATGGAGATTTTCAATTATCTCACGATGTATGAAAATTTATGTATACATATATGTCCATTTAAAGTCCATATTTACCAAATTAAGTTAAATTATTTATTTTATATTTTAATCATTTGAAATATTTATCCATATTTATCTTAGACATATCATAACAAAATACCATAGGTTTAAGGACCAATTCAAAATTTAGTGAATAAGAAGAAAGTCAAAACCTAGTAAATAATGAAAATACATGGTATGTTCATATGTCAATTTGAAGTCCATATTTATCAATATAAATTAAATTATTTAATTCATATTTCAATAAATTAAAATATTTTTATTTGATTAGCAGAATAGCAGAATTGTCAAAAGTCGTATTTGAATTTTTATTGCCACGTATTCGCGCTATTCAGTGTGGTAGCCAGGATAACTTCAAAAAAACAGGATTGTGTTTTTTTGAAGTTCATCAAATTGATTACAATAAAATTAGTGGAAGTTTCATTTAAGTATACATCAATCTGTGTATGAATATGTTAACGTAAAAACCAATATTCATATCACTATTATTTTGAAAAGCTTTAAGCACATTTTTTGATCCTAAACTAAAAGTTACTTTTGTGACAAATATCTCTACTGATGCTCCCTCTGAAAATACCACTAGAAAAAAAGATATTGAAGTTTGAGTCTACAAAGAGTACAATAGTACTATAAAAAGATATCTTATACACTGATAAAACACGACGAGGATATATGAATTTTATATATGAATAGTGGATAAAAATATAAATGTTGCTTATATGATTAAAAATACAAAAATCTATGAAAAATATTTAAATGTTATAAATACACCACTAAAAATTTTTGGAAGTTGTAACGTTACTGCAACAAAATAAAAACAAATTAGAAACTAATAACGTATAGAATTGTGATGAATCATTATGAGTCGGGGTTGTTTACATTTTTTTAAATCAGGTTCATGGTATGTATATGGAGGTACCTTCTAGTCTACTGTATTGAAGGATGACTGAATATTAAAAAAAAAAGAGTATAAAATATATAAATGACTATTCAATTATTATAAACCACTAAGAAAGCAGTTCGGTGTAATTTGAAATCTGCGATGTGTTTATCCTTTAATATTCTTAAGCATTTCCATCATCATCATACCTTGAATAAGTCGATAAATATTTGTTGGCAGACAATGCCGGTATGTATTAATGAAGAGCATATTTGCATGTGTTAGATATGAAATACCCTATATTGCACACAATCTTAACTTATGTAGTATCATCCTTAAGTTATTTTTTTAACCAGCTAGTTAGAATAAATGTGCTTTGAACCAACGCATTAACGACTTTAAGGAGTGCAGATATTCAACACTTTTAAAATATATCATTAAATATCAATGAAACGTCTAATCCTATATTTCAATATTTTTCAATACTTCTTATCATTAGTTTTCAAGAAATAATAAGAGCTTATAGAAGCTAGTTTAATTAACAGACGAAGCGTCAAATGGGCATATGTTGGCCAATAAAGTGATTAATAAGCCAAGAAATAAGTAAGTAAGCAAAGCAAAAAAAAATAACATTTTTCCCTCCAGTTAACTAACGGTAGTAACTCACCGAAAAGATTTACCAATTGTTAAAAATCAAGTAATATCTATTTGAGCAGAAAGTCCTTTAGCTGTAGTTATGACGACAAATTTTGTTTTTTTTTATTGGTGTTAGTTTTTTAAATAACTTTTGTACACTTTAAACACTTTAAAGTTTTTCGAAACTATCACAGTGTGCCTGCTATGCGGTTATGGACTACAGTTAAACTGCAGCTTACAACAATAATGAAATTAAGCAGTAAATGATACTAAACCTACATCGATGAATTGATATAAAACATACATAGACAACCCGTAACTAACGAGATATTAGTATTATTACTAACTAATATCGCGCGACGAAATTGTTAATGAAAATTTACGTTTAATTTTTGAACACATTAATTCTCAATATTCTTCCAGATAACCCTTAAAATATAAACAAATGAAGCACTGCATTATGTTGTGGAACATAAATAACAATGTTGTTACGGTAACTCAGGGTCTACACTGGGTAGACTTTGGTAAGATTTAAGCATAAACTTTTATATTTTCATACATTTTTTCAAGAAGAAAATTTCTGTTTAAACTTTTTAGTCATCTGTAAAAAAATAACATGATAATCATATGAAAATTAATTTGGAAATGCGACCATTGTGAATCAAACTGAAGTAATAATTAATTCATTTAATAAACCCTAGTCTGTGTTATATTTTGTGGATTTTTATTTACTAATTCAATTTTTTATGTTGTGCTAATCTAGACTTTTAATTTCTTAAAATATATAATTAATATATGTATAAACCAAATTAAAAATATGGCAACCCATTATATTTGTCTACGGCTTTGTTTTGTTTACTAAATATTTATTTTTTCGCTTACGACTTGATGCTTTTATTTGTTGCTTATTTTGTATTCCCAGACGATCAACTTACGCAGACGCCAAAATGATTTTCGATTATCAATTTGTTGTTGCTTTCAAAGCAATGTATTTAACAAATTATAATATTAGTGAATTTCAGTGACAATGACAATAACGAAGCAACGAAGAAAGAAAAGACATTAAAGTGTTTGTTAATTTAGTAAACCGATAAAATTTTATATATATGTACATATTTGTGTTACCTAGGCATTGAGTCTAATCATATTTTTAGTAATTTGTAAAAGTGTTTTACAAAACTTGCATTTACTTTAAAATGTTTGATGGTGAAATAATGAATAAAATATTAATAAATTAAATAGAAGCACAAATTTGACTTTTTGCCTTTATGAGAATCAAATTAGCTTCTTCGGCACTTCGATTTTATAACTCACTGAGGAGTTTGAAGGGAGCCTTCGGACATTTGTCATTTTATTTCTTTACCAAGTTAGGTCTGAATGCCCCCATTGTAAAACCTATGTTACTTTTTTTGGTATTTGATATTTATTTAGTGGCCTTAATTAAATTAATTATACCAAATCATGTCGTTTGAGGTTTATATAGGAATATTAAGTATAAATAATATGTGCTTTAGTTTTATTGTCCCCAATTCTTTTATATAAATTAATTTTTTTTAAGATTTCTAACAACTTTCTTTATACATATATGTACGTTTTAAAAATATTTTTAAGAATAATGGATAAATTAACTATTAGATAATTAGTAATTATTGATAAATTAATTAAATATACCACATTTACACTTAAAATCAAACAATTATGCTTATAATACACTTATAAGCCGAAACACCAAGCGTTGGCGTCACACACATACGACCTTTTGGTGTGTATACTAATTTTATTTGATTGACTTATTTATTTTTATGCCAAGTTGTTGTGGTTTATTTATATTAATATAAATCTCTTAATTTATATATACAGATTCTTATTTTGCATAAAATGTTATCTAAATTGGAATAAGTATTTATTTAATACATAACATTAAAAAACAACCCCTGACGAAGTTGGAAAAGACCCAATAAAAAACAAACAAAGATCAACACAAAACCAAAAACAGTAATAAAATTAAAATATATTATATTTTATATCTAATTTTTTACTTGTTACTTATTTTATTGTGAAAGGTTAGTTTGTGTTTCCAAATAAACGTACTTACATATGTACATAAATATAAATGTAGTCATTTTTAAAACTTATGAATAAATTTTTTTAGACAATATCATTACTGAAGTGGCATAAGGAATACAAGAATTTTAAAAAAATTCTTAATTCATACTTTTTAATGCAAACGTTAAAAACAACTCCCAAAAATTTACAAAAACGTCAGCAATAGCTAATTCCACAGATTCTGCACAAAAATTTGGCAAAAAAGCATACGGTGCGGCATGTGCTATTATAATTCTTAACTATGTCAGTTAAAAATTAAAATACCTAATAAAATACCTAATACCTATATGGGAATGTAGTCGAAGACGGTATGGAGCACACCTTTTTCGATTATCAAAAGTGGACACAAAAAAGAAGTGAACTGGAGAATCAGATTGAAATGCTACTGGTTGAAAATTTCATTCCGACAATGATGAAAAGTGCGAAAAATTAGAAAATACATAGTGATATTGACACTTGAAGTTCTTTTGACTAGAAAAACGCTTAACAAAAATACTGCTTATGAAACAACACTTACTATGATACGAAGTTCTACAAGAAGAATATGGTACGGAAAGCCAAAATAATGAAAACTTCCCCAACGTTCCCGGACAGATGTTGTAGTTTGTATACTACGATACGAAATTCTACAAGAAGAATATGGTACAGAAAGCCAAAATAATGAATACTTCCCCAACGTTCCCGGACAGATGTTGTAGTTTGTATACTACGATACGAAATTCTACAAGAAGGATATGGTATGAAAAGTCAAAACAAAGGAAAATTCTCCGACATCTCTGAAGGGATGTTGTAGTGCGTATATTACAAAGTAGCCAAAGTCAAAAGAAACTCATACCCCAAAACATAACTTTTATGTTTATTAGCAAAAAAACACAATAATAAACTTACCAAACAACTTCAAAAAATTAAAAAAAGTGCTTCAAACTAACTTATTTCGTTAGTCAACTAAAGTAAGAGCTTAAAACTAAGACTTTGTTGAATAGTGAGCTATTCAATCAAATAGTAAAGTTCTTTTTACACTGATTACAAAAAATTGGATCGTGAAATTAGCTACATCTTGAATAAGAACCCAATCAAAAAAGCAGGATAAAGTCCTCTTAAGAACTTGGAAAATAAGTAACGACGAAGGTCCCCCATTACTCATAGTTTGACTTCGATAACACTGTAAACGAAATTAACGTTTTTGTTTCGAGGACTAGATAATCTTAACAAAATTGCTTAGCGGGAATACGTTCATGGTATTCGTATGCAATTGGCCAACCAAGACCGATCAAAGTAATTACAAAAGACCTTCATCACTTGTGGGATTTTACTGAGCTATCACTGCTGATTTAGAAAGGCACGGCTTAAAAGCAATTTGCGCTGTAAATAAGCTGAAGTGAAACAAAAGAACCAGTGTATATGCTCTAAGTTACTTTCGATGCATTTGAGCATATAAAAAATAAGTGCCAAGTATCAAAAATTTTAATCATGATAGTGGTAGTTAAATCAGTTAAGGCGTGCCAATTGTATTAGAACATATAAGGCACGCAAAATCTTCAATGAAAATGATCGCTCCAAGATATGGCTACCATATGAAATCGTTCTAAGGATCATACAAAAACACACTGCAAGAATATTAAAATATGTCCTAATAATCACTATCTTCAAGTCAAACTTATTAAAAAATAGATTAGTCTGGATAATTTTTCAGTAAATGAATATTTCTGACTCTCTTTCATTAAAAAAATAATCGAAAGTTCAGTTAAGATCATCGCCAAGTCCGCTTTACAGCTAGTAAACACCTAGTTTCCAGATTGTTCTAAGGATCCACCAAAGGTACTAGATATTCGTTCAACCAACGAACGAGTAAGATTTTATTTCTGCATATAAAAAATCTACATCAGATTATACGAATTGTATAGTATATATACGATAAGCTTTAAATTGGTTGTTCATTATTTTCTGCAGCTGTGTTTCACTTAATCACGTCGCCACTGCCTGGAGACAACTTAGAGTAGTTTTCATTGCAGAAACAAGTAACAATATGGCTAAGGACTTTCGTCTTATTAGCTTAACATCATTTCTTCATAAAACCATAGCAAGATGCTCATTTTAAATATGCATATCGTAGGGGAAACCAACAGAAACTGCTTTATACGAAGTAGTAAACACAGTGGAAAAATATGTCTAAACAATAGACATAGACATAGAAGGAACTTTTAATAATGTAATTTTGAATGAGAATTTACCGAGATATTCATATCAAACAAACGGCATCTCTCAGTGCAAAACAAAATTATTATCAAATTAGGAATATAAATCAGAGATATGAAGTGAATGGAGCTGAACTAAATGCATATAATAAATTATTGATAGGCTTATGCAAAAACTCATACATAATTAGAAAAGTATATTATAGTGCCAATATATTGAAAAACAAACTTTTCAACCGAAATGTCAGTACTTCATTGATTATTCTAAATTGTAATTCAGCGTTCAGGAGTCGTAAGGGCATTTGTTAAGGATGCACTAGTCGAGAAAAGCGACGTTGGTGTCTGCGCAATAAATTACAGTAACATAATGTTAGTTCAAATATAACAAAAAAGATTAAATTGGCATATTAGTAAGAAAAATTAATAGTTAAGTCATGTAGAACTAATGCTGGACACAAATAAAATTTAAACTGTAGTAAGCTAATAGGAAGTCGTTTTTTATGGCAAGCGAATTGCGCGTAATGTCAAAAACCCAAGAACGGATCAAATGGATTAATAACATTTACAAAAACAAAAAATTAGAGCATAAAATTATTGGGGCACTATAATACGTCAATACCGAGACACAAAATCAACAAACGCATGCCGTTTAATGAAAAGATATCAAACACTAAATGTACGTCACAGTAATCGAAATATTATTATTGTACAGAACAAAAGCTTAGTCAGCAAGTGATATAGAACTTAACTAGGTAACAATCGTATAAAAAAGTGTTTAAAGAAAATTGCTGAGACAGAATAAAGTTTAAAGGCTCTAGTATTACTTGCCTAGTCGTGTATTAATAATGAACCAGTTGAGAATTTCCAAAAGCGGCAGTTGGGCTTAAACTAAAAAGACCTACTGAGCTTTAAAGGTTAAAATTAGGGGCACAATTTCAGTGAAAGCGCGGAAAAGAGAAGAAATGGGCAAAATTATCGGAATAGATTTTGCTAGATTTAACCTTCATTACAATGGCAATAAAGCGAAATAATTAATAGGCTTCTTTGGTTACTGTACGTAACACAACTGCTTTGGAGCCTTTTTTATGTGTTTCATCTGCGACTCACTTTTCATTGGTTTTGACCTTATGTATATAAGGTTACCTTAACTCAACTAAATTAAACA